CGCCGCACGTTTCTCTTTCTCAGGCCGCTGTTCGGAAAGTATTGGTCGTATCGAAAAAATATTGATACCGTTGGAAAGCTTTAACTTTTTACTTCAAGTACCCGGTGTCTCCCCCCCCTTGTGGAATGAACGGCTTAGGAGCAACGCCGCGTTAAAGCGCTCGCGGCGCTCTCCGCCCGTAGGCGCCCAACGCAGCGCCGCCCGAGGCTCTCGCCAATGCGACTGCAGCGCTGCGCGCGGCGGAGTTTGTCCCTGGACGCGGCCGGGGAACCGCCGCGCCACCACAGCCGGTCCTCCATATATTCTTAGTCCGTGCTTTGCATTAGGGGCAAGCGATGTCCACTAGCATCTGGGTAATTGTCCACTATTTTCTTGTCAGCAGCACTTTGGGCCTCTTTCAACGGTGTGATAGCCTTCTCGTTTTTTTGTTTTCATTTTTTTTGGGGGGGAGGGGGGGGCACCCTACTCAGGCGAGTCGGTGACCCTTCGAGAGCACGTTGGTAATATTACAGCAGTTAGTAAAATTACCATACTTTCTTGGAAAATTTACAGGTTTCCGGAAATTTTACCAACATTTTCTTGAAAAATCGCCCTACTTGTATTTACAGAAATTGTGAGTGAAACTTACCCAGTGGCGTATTAAGGGGGGGGGGGGGTGCATCGAAAGTTGCCTACATACAGGGGTTTTGTAGGTCAAATTGCCTACCTTTAGGCGGCTATCTAGTGGCACACAGGGGGGGCGATCGCCCCCACCGCACCCCCCCCTTAATACGCGCCTGAACTTACCCCAGCCTGTAAATTTTCTAGTATATTTATATACTACTTTACAGGTGTTCTCCTGTAAAGTTGCCTTTTTTAACAGTGCCTAAGTCGACGGAGCATATGGTGACTCGGTCTTGCAATTTTGCATTTTGCAAAGGGCCGGATGACCTCCGCGCGAAAATAGACACACCGGTAATATCTAGAAGGTCTAAAGATTCAATATCGCCTCCTAACGGCTATGTAGAATCATTGGCCGAGTTGATACACTAAACTTTATCCTTGCATATCTCAGAACACGCTTTATTGGCTGAGCGATTAGCGAAGCCCATTACTCCACTGACCTAAAAAGTTTCATTCTGTTTGTTTGTGTGTTTGTCTGTCTGTCCGCACGATAACTCGAGAACGAATTGAGCTAGCGACCTGAAATTTTCAGGGTCGTTTTGTGTCATAAAAAGACGGATCGAGTTCGAAGATGAGCATTCTAGCTCAAAAATTGGCTTTTTAATAATTAAAAAACTACAGGTCGCAAAATGTATTTTTATCAAATATTTTTTTATGCGTTCCTAAAGGGTAAACCGTCAAAGTAGAGCCCTTCGGGCGAAAATTTCGTCCGTTTGGCTCTATCTTGTACCGTTTAAGTGCTAGGGGACATTTCTCGACAAAAATGAGGAGAAAATGATCAAATGGTCGATTAAATCGTTAACAAAAAGACTTCATTTCGAAAACTTGTATATACACTCCTATTACCCCGTCTCGGGTGTCAGCGCCGCAGGCCTAGCTATATGTGCGCCAGGCGCGTCGCAGCGTAACAGTGTTTCGTGAGTTATCGCGAAGCCTGTTACGCGAGACGTGGTCTGGCGTACATATAGCTAGTGTATAAAGCGCCTTTTGCAGATAAGACATTGTGAAAATGCCCCGCCGCAGATGGAACATAGGACACGTCATGGGGTGTACACTGTTCACCGAAGTAATGAATCCCTCGGGCTCTATGGCCCAGTAAGTTACGAACGACCGCTGAGTTAGCATGGTCTAGGTTCTGCTCCCGGCACTGCTAGCGCCAAGCGTATGCTAGCGGCTAGTAGTAGTGCAATAGCCATGGTCACATCGGCAGTCAAAGTATTTTCAGATGAAGAGAAGAAGATTTAATAATGCAGAGGGAAAAACAGCGCTAAACATATCAGAACATATGTTTTTCCGTTTTATTTATTTCTACATCGTAAAACCATACTTCAAACATGGAAGGGAGCACACTGAAAAAAACTTAGTGCTGATGCCGGTCATCAAGACCTGTTGCTCGCTCAAAAACATTTTTGTTGCTAACCGTGCGACACTATGTCCTTCATTCTACGTAGTTCTCATTCGGAATGTTCTCGAGCCAGTTACCTTGTCGTTGGACCAAGGACCGTTGTCGTGCGGCTAGCAACGTATGCTCTGGTTATAGAAGTTATCTGTTTTTGGAGCCGAGCCAAGAGCGAACTGCGTAGGGGTTTTTCACCTGCCCTAAGCACTAATATTTTGTTTCTTTTTTCAGTGCATGCCCGCCGCCGCAGTGACTCTACTGTGTGCACTCTAGGAAGGCCCCAATATACTAGATGGGGACTAGCGATACCTCAGCGGGTGACCTCTGGGGTCGCTGATACGCACACTACGAAGGCACCAGCTGGAACCTCTGGAGGTCCCGCGCTGTAAGGTGGTATAGAGATGGGCGGTCGCAATCGCTATTGGGCAACCACTCTCCTTGTCACTCAATGACAGGTAGGCGCGAGGAGGGGTCAGCGAGCAGCCCCAGAATCCAGCCCTTGTTACCTGTACTACCTGCTCGAACTGGAACCCTTGCCTCAGCCGACCGGCTATCGTCGGTGACCTGAGAAAGGGATCGGTGGGGCCACTTACCACCCCGAGCCGGAACCTTTCTGAGCCTCACTTTGGACCCATCATAGCGGTTGAAAACAGGACCTTCAAACGGTATGAGTGGATTTAGAGGTGTTATTTGGGCACCGGTGCGTAAAGAGTCCAACCGACCCCTTACCTCCCTAACAGTGCAAATTTGAAACGAATGGACAGCCATACTGGCGTACTTGTGTCAGATTCTTCCAGTCTTGTGGTTTTGGATATTCAGCAGAGCCTGTAGGAATTTAAACCATTGGATTAACACTTTGCCTAAAGTACGGCGACAAAACGCTTTTACAAGTGGACCAGAAACAAAGCCTCGGCGACTGAAAGACGCAAAAGCAAAGCACAGCATGTGGCGCTGCGTGGACACCGGCTCCTCCAGCCAGGGCCCGAAGTACACAGCTGACTGCAGAGAGTTGCGCCCCTGGAGCACGGCATCGCTAAACTCGCATACCGGGATGAGCCCCACTATGATGGCGGGTATGATGGATAGCGAAAACCCATCAGCTTCCGATCCGTTGATAATAACCTGCTTAGAAAACAAACACATTTAGAATTTTCGGTGGTGGGCGAAAATGGTCTTTTCAGATTGTGTTCGCATTCACTGTAAATTAGAGTCCACAATGACTGTCACTGTTAAAAAAACTGTTGTAAATTAACAACGAAAGTGTAGTTAAGTTTGTTAGCAACACTTGTTGTTTTTTAACAACACATGTTGTAATAAAACAACATTGATAAAAATCTCGGAAACAACGTTTCTGACCAAAAACAGTCACTTTTGTTTTGCTCCTGGATAAAACAGTTGTAATATTACGAGTGTGTTGTTTTTGAACGAAATGTGTTGCTAACAAAATTAACCACTCTTTTCTTGTACATTTACAACAAAGTAATCCCTAGTAGTTTCTGTTGTGGGCCAATATAAGCCGAATAACACAAGTTTCGCGAGGGGTCAAATGAAAACAACATTTGTTGTTAATAGGGTATTTCAATGGAGCGCTGCCCGGAACTAAGAAGAACAAAACCGGATACAGAGAGCGGTGGTGGGGGCGGGCGCGCGGAGGAGCGGAGGGCGAGCGGGGAGGTTCCCCTCCACCCGCCGCTCCTCCGCGCGCCCGCCCCAACCACCGCTCTCTGTATCCGGTTTTGTTCTTCTTAGTTCCGGGCAGCGCTCCATTGAAATACCCTATTAACAGCTGTATCGTTTAAAAAATTGTTGTTTTTTTACAACTTTTTCTAACAGTGTACGCTTTTGGTGCTACAAAAATATTTGTTGTGGTGATCATCGCAGGAACAGTACAGCATTATATTAACTGCTTTGGCAAAACTTTGAGGTACAATATTTTAGGGCAATGTACATCACACTGTTTTGCAACAAATACAAATTCATTTCATCATTTTGCAATGAGTATTGCACAAAATTTGTGATGAGAAATAATGAACATGGGTGACCAAAATTATCCTGGATTTTTTCGCAGTGCACAGTGGTCTGGCAGACGGCCAAAACTCGAAAATCCAACTCGCATTTAGAGTGTCCCCTAAATCACCCTTTTTCTCCCAAAGGACGACGGTACCATGTCGGTACCTCCTATCAATATAGGCTTATAATTCATTAGGCTAAACGTACCCGCTCATCATCTCGGGTTCTAAACAGAACCGCTTACCTGCGCGGGTCCTACACAGAACCGCTTATCTGCTCGCGG